TAAATAACTATTTTGGGGGTGGCATTGTTCAGCAGAGGGCAAGAGCAAGAAGACAAGTTGTAAAGCTCCGAAAAACTGAGTGAGAGCTGTGATCCCTTGTGTTTTTTTTTTTTTTTCTGTGTTGGTAAGACCTGGCATTGGGAATGTTCCTTATCTGACCCAGCATATAATTTATCAGAAATACCAAATTGAGAGTGGCACAGGGATTCTTGGGGAGAATGAGGGAGGCATAAAGAGAGGCAACTGTAGATCCCAGACTAGGAAGGTCCTCTAAGGGCAATAGTTCATGCAGTGTGATCCAGAGACTCCTGGTGCCTAGCAAACAGTGTTTTAACAAGCACTCCAGGGTATTGAGAGCTACTGATTTATGTCATTTTCAGAGTGGTCAGGTCTCCCTAGAGAGAAACCAGCTAGCTGCCTTCTTTGCAGGCAATGTGAAGAATTCACAAAAGCTATGCTACAGAATAAGGTCAACTAGAGATCCGGTTCTGCTTTACCATCTACTAACTGGTGACTGAGGGTTACATGGTTAGCCTCACAAGTTACCTTGGAGAGTTGTAAAGCTTGAGATAGCAAAAGAAACCCAATGTCTGGTACATGTTTTCAACAAATCTAAGTATCCCTTCCTACTTCCTTTTCTTTCATCTTTCTTCTCTTCCTTCATTCCTTCCCCTTGAAAGGGCCTACTGGTCATTCCAGGTTAACTGTAGATGTATGTCTCCTTGATCAGAGACCACCCTCAGAGGTGGTCATATTTCCAGGATAAATGTCAGGGCACATGGTTCTAATAACAGATGTATCTATTTGTAGGATTAGTGAGCTAGAATATTTGGAATTAGGAGTGTGTTGGGAAATCTAGATAAAAAGTAATAGGATTGGGCCTCCCCAGTGGCACAGCGGTTGAGCGCTGGGTTGCAAAGCTGCCCGCGGCCTCTGCAGCGCCGGTTCAATCCCCGGCTGCTCCCCGGCCACCGGAGGAGGGTCCCACATGGCGCGCAGACCTCTCCTGCCGCCCGCTGCTCCCCTCAGCAGTGTACTTCGGTCCTTCTGCCTGCTCTGTTCCCCGCTCTGGCTCTGGTGAATTCTCTCACCCTCCCGCATTTCTGACTGTACCCAGTGCATGTATAAACAAAAACAAACAAACAAATAAATAAATAAAATAAAAACATGCCTCTAAAAAAAAAAAAGTAATAGGATTGAATTTCTTCTTTAAAAATATTATGGGGGCCTCCCCGATGGTGCAGCAGTTGAGTGCCATGCTGCAAAACTGTCCACAGCCTCTGCAGTGCCGGTTCGATTCCCTGCTGGCCAGGGAGAACCCCACATGGCGCAGCAGAACTCTCCTACCTTGTCTGCTGCTCCCCTCAGCAGTATCTTTGCTCCACCTGCCTGTTCTGCTCCCCGCTCTGACTCTGGTGAATTCTCTCATCTTCCTGCACTTCTGAACTGTACCCCAGTTCTTGTATAAAATAAATAAATAAATCTTAAAAAAATGATTTTATGAATCTCCACCCTTTCCCATCCTTCTTTTGTGAGATTCCATTCCTTGGTAACCCAATTACATGTTGACAGTTCCATTTTGGTTAGTTTCTCTGGCTCCTAGTCCTTACCTCCCATTGCTGCTATTTCCCTAGGTTTGGCCTTTTCTTAATATGTTCTTGCAGGGCAAACTTCTTTTCTATAATTTCTTCTGAGTCTGGCTCCCAATACTGTATAACTCTCTCCTCTGACCTCTCTTGAGCTTCAAATCTATGTGCATGTCCTGCTGGCCCCCCACATTTAGCACACTAAAGATAAAAATTGTCATTTCTTTTCCCCTTCACAAACCAGCATTTCCTCTTTACTTACCCTCAAACTTTGATTATCACACATGAATTGGCCCCCATCCAAGGAAATGAACTTTGATCTTTCCCTTTCCTTAAACTATGTTTAAGAACCTTAAAATGTGTTTTAGCCTACCTTTCTACCCACCCTTCCCCTTCCCATCCCTAGTCCTTTCCAAATTCCTCTATTTGTTTGCCATCAAATTCCCTATAATCCTTACCTCTGAGGCTTTGCTTAATCTCATTCCTCTGCCTCCAATGTCCTTTCTTTTCCCTACTCTGTTACAATCCTACCCATTCTTTAAGGACTGCCTTCAATATCCCACAAGACTGCTCTAGAGCCCAGTAACCACATATGATCCTACCTTTGTCTAAAGTCTTACATTAAGCCAACATACTAGGTATTCTATAGTGAGGGTTTTAGTCCATTCTCTCCACAATACTGCTGATGAGGTAGGCATCATTATCCCCATTTTGCATATGTAGAAACTGGGACAAAAGGTTGTATAGTTTGAAATTTTCCTTGGCTTTTGTGATATTGCAGTCCTTGGTATGCTAATTACATACTAACAGCTCTATTTTGGGTTGCTTGTCTGATTCCCCATCTATTCCTCACCTCTCATTGTCACTGTTACTTTCCAAAGTAGCAAAGCCCAGAATTGAAGCTAGGCTTGCCTGCTATTAACTGTCTTTGCATACTGCTTGAATGGTACCTCACTGTTGGTACCCAAAGGACCTTTGATCTTCAGGTTAGAACCATAGCTCTATCACAGTAAGCATATTCCTGCCCACAGTAGGAGCTCACTGAATAATTAATGGATAGGGAATGGATGAGCAGATAAAAATGCATATTTATGAAAAAATTATGTTAAAAGTCAATTCTGTACACAATAGAAAGATTTGAAACCAACTTTCAGCCGAGATTTAGCTTACTTTTATAACAACTCAGAGGACAGGGGAAAAGCATCCCCTTGCTCCCACTGGCATTGTGATCAGAGAGCACAGGAGCCCATACAGTTACCAGATGCATTGGGATTGGCCTTCCTATTATATCTACACACATATAGGTGAACTCTTGGTTAAGTGTGTTATAGCTCATTAAGGAGATAGGGGTATAAAGTTATCCCCATTTAACAGGTGAGAAAAATAAATGAGACCCAGAGGCAGCACTGTTTCTAAGAGGAGTCCAAAGACAAACTCTTTCTGCATTTGGATTCTGACTACAATATTTACTGACTGTGAATTTGGGCAAATCATTTAACCTCTCTGAGTTTTAGCTCAGAGGACATATATAAGATAGGAATAAAATAATTATCTCCTTAAAGGACTGCTATGAGGCTTAAATAATACATGTGTAAAGTGCTTAGAATAGTGCCGAACACAGTAATACATAGTACTAATTAATATCATCATTTGATTACACATTCAGCAAGTAGTAGAACAAGTTTGTAAATCCAAGTGTTCTTTTTCTGCCTTTTCTATTCATGGTGTTATGCTCGGGAAAAAATGGTCTAGCAGGCTGGCTATCTAGTGACTGTAGGCAACTCGCTCCTATATTACAATAAATCTATAAAAACAAGGGCATAGGGTGATGGTTTTTGAAGTGTTTTTCGGTTCTGGGCTGTGTGATATGAGGGCCTAGATAAATTAGCTGGATTAAATGTGGACAATAGTGAGCCAACTGCTGTTGGGAGAAGCCACACATGGCGTCCCTAAAAAGAAGACTGCTTGCTAGAAAGAGCATCAGCAGTGTAATCAGTGCACCTGGGCCTGGGGGAACCTCATACAACATCACAGATGGTATCCTGAACAGAGGATTTTTAATTTATGACAAGGTACTCTTTTTACCCTTGATAAAAGCCAAGGATATAGCTTTAAATCAAAAGCTCTCATGGTGCTCTGGGTTGAGGCTGTTGTGCTTATTGAACTCCGGTAATATCCAGTTGGAACCCATCATTGGCAGGAGAAGTGAGACTTCTGTATGAACATTTATTTTATTGAAGCCAACAAGTAACAATTCATCTTCTCCATGGAGGCAAGGACAAAAAGATACTGTCTTTTAGTGCAATTGGAAAAAAATAAGCTCAACATAAAAATGAATCTCCTCATAGACAGGGGCACAAGTTACTAAAGGTGGTTGTCCATATCTCCTTCTTTTAAGAATGGGAACTATATGGTTTGTGATATTATGGATAGAGTTCTATAAATAAAATATAGATAATGAGAAACATTGGTAGTATAGTATGTTGGGCATTAGAACATATGCAGTTAGGAGACCAGATTCCATGATTTACTGTGTTTGGCCGAAGAATCAGATCTGAGCCTCAGTTTTCCCATCTTTAAAATGTGGGTAAGAATTAAGTGATGTGGTAGTTGTGAATATTTTATAAACTGTGAAGCATGAGGTACATGAGAAGTGTTGTAAAAGGTCCTTGGGGAATCAGTCCTTCTTCAAAGTCAGCTGATGGAAAAGCTGAGTAGAGGACATGTTCAGTAGTTCAATGCTGAGGAGAGAGTGATTGAGTCTTTTTGCCTGAGGGGCAAATTCTCTATTCTCGAATTTGTTTCTATAAATGTTCAGAAGAGTGATATTCCATTCAAGCTGAAACCAGTTGGGGGAAAAAAGAGAACAAATAACACAGTGGTCAGGATGGTAGCCAGAAGGAGGCAGAGTATTCTGCAGCCCTATCCTCATCAGTGTTTAAACGAGTGTTGTGAACATATATGTGTGTGTTCATGTGACAGTGGGATAGATGTCTGCTTACTTCTGTGTTGAGCCCAGACCTGCTGACCATGAAGACCAAAGACCAGGGTTAACTTCCCTGTGACAGAGTTTTGCCATATAGCAAATACAGATGCCAACCTAGCCCTTCTACATATCTCACAGGGTAGTTGAACAAACCAGAGTAAATCTGTGTCAAGCTTGCATTTTCTGGGAGCAAGATATAACAGAAAGACATATTATTTCATACCCTTGACCTCTTTGGATGGGATCATGCATGGGTGAGAATAGGAGGCTGTAGGACTGGGGTTTATTGTATGTGAGGAATAGCATGGAATCCCTGGTATTGGCGGCAGTACCAAGGAGAAAGAGGAAAGGGGAAGAATACAGAAAATTTAGAGCAAGTTTGCTTGAGCAGTTTTAGATATTGATTCCAGCCTCTCTACCCATTCCAGGGCTGCCTTGCAGCACCAAGGATTGATGGACTGGAACACTCTTCTCTAAGAAGGAGCTCTTGAGAAGGAATAAAATATAAAGCCTATGTATTCCATATTCACATTCTTGGTCATTCTACCCACTGGTTAATGGAGAGTTGACACTATTGCTTGTCTTGTGATCCAATGAAGCTTGTGCTCACGGTGTCATCTCCCTCTCTCCTACTCCTCATCACTAGTATGTGTTTATTTTAATAAGTAGTAGAGCTCTGTGGGGGAGGGGGTGAAATGGGCAAATAAGGCAGCCAGCTGTGCGGACTGAACACATTCTCATTTTGTCTCCTAAGCTGATCACTGGAGATTCCATCGTTAGTGCTGAGGCAGTATGGGATCACGTCACCATGGCCAACCGGGAGTTGGCATTTAAGGCTGGCGACGTCATCAAAGTCTTGGATGCTTCCAACAAGGATTGGTGGTGGGGCCAGATCGACGATGAGGAGGGATGGTTTCCTGCCAGCTTTGTGAGGGTGAGTGCCAGCCTTCACTCTCCTCTCCTGTCTCCTTTGCTCTCTGCCCCTGGCTTCCCCCTGACCAACCCCTGTTTTCCTGTTCATTCCTCTACTTAGTGGCCCTTACTTTTTTCACAATTATTTTGGTCTCCTACCCAGGACCTAGTCTTCCTTTAATCTATGTCCCTCTTATTTTAACACCTTTCCTTTTATCTTATTTATTTTAACAATCCTTGTCTCCAGCCTCTTACCTCCTTACCTTCTGTGACATTGTAATCACTTCTCTATTGGTTATGATAGTTTGTAAAGACCCTTTTAACTCTATATTGCTGTGAACTTTTACCTTTCTTATTGCTCTTCTTTTTTCTTTATTTTTTCCTCTTTTTTTAATCCAGATCATCCCCACCCCCATTCCTCTCTGCTGCCTTTGTCTCCTTTCTCTCATTTATGGAAGTGTAAACATCCTTGTGTGTTGTCTCAAGGTTGTCTTCTGCTGTTAACTTAGGATTTTGGGTTCCCTACCTTCAGTAGGGCTAGATTTTACTCATTGAAAATCTTACTTTTCACATAAATCGGGTGACTGTGATCTAAGATATGTGGAGGTGGAAAGCAGGCAGCCTGATAGGGCTTATGTGACTGTGAACCTTTTGACATTGTACTATGAAGAATCTAGCCTTAACAGAATGGACTTTTGGGAGGAGGCTCCTTAACAGTTTCTGTTGCTTCTGAATCACTAATTAGCAGGATGTTATGGGGAAGAGTATTGACCTGGTGTTACGCTCTTGGCCTTCCTTAGAGTTATAAGCTAGAATCAGCCCCTTGGCAACTGAGAGCTCAGATTTTACCCATCCACCAAATGGGATTGGCAATTCTTTCATGCCAGAAGATATCAGAGTGAATGGCTACATGGGAAAACTGCTTTGTGGCAATACAGGTAACAAAGCTACACGAGGGTGTCTTATGACCATCCTTATCATTCTTTTGTAAGATAAGTTTGAAGTGTTGGCCCCAAACTCAAGATTGGAGTCCTTGGGTCCTTGGAAGATAAAATGCCTTAGGACAGGAATGACGGCTTCAGGATCAGTGTGATAAGAGGGAAGGATCAGGACATTTGGAATTAGAAACCTAAAATGCAGTCTCCATTTTACTACCTCCAAGCTCTGGTTTTTCACAAGATTTTTTTTTTTTTTACTTCCTTGAACCACCTTCCTTTTTTCCTCATCTGAAAAATAAGGAGAGCAGACTTTTTAGGAGAACTAAATTAATCCCAAGAAACTCTATGTATCAAAGCTCTATATATCAAATAATAGTGGTTGAAAAAGGCCTTTCTCTTGAAGGGCTGCAACCTCATGAAGCACTGTTATCTGGTTAGAATGATTTCAGTAAGGGAATGAGAGAAATGGACAAGATGACCTTTCATCTTCTTCTATTCTACGAGTCTCCTAATGAAATATCCAATCCATTTTCATCTGCATATTTGGTGTTTTCCATCAGAGTTTCCAAATGTCCATATATATCCCAGTTCAGCTTTGCTGGTTGATGATTCAGTCCCAGGCATAGTCAGTAAGAGCACATTGATAACCATGTGCTTTTGGGACTAGTGCTTGAGGCCCTGTGCACATACAGGTTGTATGTCTTTTAATAATAGCCCTTATCTTTAAAAGAAGGATTAAACTGTACCCAGGGATGTCAACCAAATCCAGATGCATTTCATTTCAGTGAAATGTCATTTTTATAATAAGCAGTTAATAGAGGGATGAACCAAATAATTGAGCGAGGTAAAATGGCTTGGGGAGGCAAATGGCAGGACCAGGCATCAAAATGCCAATGAACTGGCACTGATGTCTGTATGTTCAAGGCAAAAGGAAGTGTTCCTACAAGCACATAGCCCCAGTAGCTACTTAGGTAGGCTGAAGCTGACCTTTGAGAAGACCACTGACTAGCCCAAGCATTAATATAGAGTGTAGCCTAAAGTTTCTCAATCCTGACTGTATAATGAAATAAATCACTTGAGTAGCTTAAAAAACAACAATAACAACAAAAACAACAACAACATTATAACCCAGACTCCAGAATACTTAAATCAGAATCTTTGATTTTGGGAACCATTGGTCTAGGCCATCACAGTCCAATAGAAATATAGTGTGAGCCACAAATAAAATTTTGTAGCCACCACACTGAAAATGATAAAAAAATCCAGGTTAAATATATTTACTTAACCCAATGTAGTAAACACATTATCATGTAACATTATATATTATCACTATAAAATTATGAATGATATATTTTACTGAGTCTTTGAAATCTGGTGTTTTCTGCACTTACCACACATCTCAATTCACATTACTTATATTTCAAGTGTTCATTAGCCACATGTGTATAGTTGTCACTATATCGTATTGCATAAGTCTAAACTGAAGACTGTGATACTAAACCACGAGCATTAATGGAAGAGCCTAAATCATAAGTTATAGCTCCAATATTCTGTCTACTATATTAATATTTATTATTTGAGTAACTAAGGTAGTATTCCATGTAGCCTGATTGTATTCAGTATGAAAATTTGATCATTGTGAAAATTTGTTTCAATAACTGAGTCATCTTCAGATGTCTAAAGGGGAGTACCATGGAATCTTAGGGTCCAGCTGTTGTGGTGTCACCAGTAAAAGGAAATTGGGTCAGGCTTTTGCAGGAATAATGTGAATATTGGCTCTATGGTAGTCCTTCCACTTCTCATGAATGAGTGTTTATATGTTAGTTTACATTTCTGGTAAGATTGAGTGATACTCAAAGGATTGCATGATGAAGGTTATAGAGGCTCTTTTCCAGTTGATATCTAAAATAAAATTTCTTTTTTTTAAAAGATTTATTAATTTATTTATTTATACAAGCACTGGGTACAGTCAGAAGCGCCGGAGGGTGAGAGCATTCACCAGAGCCAGAGCGGGGAGCAGAACAGGCAGACGGATGAAGTACACTGCTGAGGGTCACAGCAGGCGGCAGGAGAGGTCTGTGCACCATGTGGGACCCTCACCCGGCGGCCAGGAATGGAACAGGCACTGCAGAGGCTGCGGGCAGCTTCACAACCTAGTGTTCAACTGCTGCGCCACTGGGGAGGCCCTAAAATATCATTTCTATTTCTATTCTTCTACATTGATTTTAGTTGAGAGTAGAGAAGTATTGTGGAAATAGTGCTAAATAACTATATTAGGAAATGAGAGATCTGAGTTCTAGTCATTGTTCTGTCACCCATTCGGTATATGATCATGGTTTTTTGTTTTCTTCATCTCTAAAGCTCCTGCTAAAATCTGTGCAAATTCTGATATGTCTAGGTAAGGCACAGAGATATATCACATTGAACTTTGAACCTTCATTAGTGCTGGTGTAGTTGGAAGACAGATGAGTGATTCCTGGAATGCTGTGTCTTCTTGTTATAGGATAGTAGCCCACTTTATCCAGAATTATCCTGAGCTAATAGTTCTAAGTTATTTGTCATATAATATGAAAGTATAGTGACAAAAACAAGATTTTCCCCCTAACTTCATAGTAACCAGACACCTTTGTAGATCATTAGATAAAACTGGCCACTAAAGTAAGTGGGATATCGCCAGTCCCTAACTGGTAGTCTCATTGCTGAGTAAAGTTCCTAATCCTAGTGTCAACAGACAGGGAAGTGGGTGTGTGGCTCCTAAGCCTTCTCTCAACATCCCCTCAAAACAGGTGAATAAACTAGCAGCATACCAGCCACTTTCCACTACTCTCTTTACCCATTACAGAGATAGACTGAGGGGTCCTGCAAGTCTGGGAAATGGTCTCTTAAGATCCCCTGGTCAAGACTGAATAGAGAACAGACACTGGTAATGGCAGACAGGGAGTCAGCATCTATTGATTTGAGAAAAAGCAAGGAAACGATACTCCATAGAGACCTCTCTGGGCGTGAGAAAGAGACTTGGGGAGGTGCTGGAGGAAGGGCTCTTTATAGGTTTTAGGACTGGGGTTTGAGAGCAAAGGACTTAAACTTTATTGACTGACAATGCAAGGAGAGTGGGCTTGCTAATGTCCATTATTGTTGCTAATTATGGACACCAATCAGCTGCAGTCTGTTGGTTGTGCAGGGCTCATGATCATCTTCAAGGTGAATATCTCACAGATGCTATATGCCTGCAGCTCCAGTTTAAACTCTTCTGGTCTCAAGGTCTGTTACTATTTCTTCTGGGGCTACAACTCCCTTTTTCCCTTAGCAATCAACTTGATGAGCTGTGGGAAGATAGCTCAGAAATGGTTAAACAAACAAACAACAACAAAAAACAATGAACCATGAAAATTTTTGGCAGCAGATTTCCTAGCCTAGAGTCATCAGGTTTTTAACCTCTTGTTTACCAGCCCATGGGAACAGCAAAATTTTTTTTAAGATTTATTTGTGCATATAAGAAATGGGTTGTATACCAGAGATATGGGGGGGTGAGAGGCTTCACCAGAGAGAGTGGTGAGCAGAACAGTCAGATCTACTGAAATACACTGCTGTGGGGAGCAGCGGGTGAGACAGCGAGCAGTGGAGAGGTCTGCTGCGCCATGTGGATTGCTCCCTGGCTGGGGATCGAACTCGTGCTGCAGTGGCTGGCAATAGTTTGATAGTGCTGTGTCTTTAACCCCTGCACCACCAGGGAGACCCCAGAATAGCAAAAATTTGCAAATTTTTTGTGCTTGATTCCTGTCCCTGTACCTATTTTTATCCTAAGACCCTTCCTTTCTCACTGGAATCATAATCTAGGGTGCTTAGTGTGATTCTGTCCAAACTAGCTCTTCCTATTTTTAATCAGATTGAAGCCCAACATGGAGTCTAAAAAACCCAGAATCTTGCCTGAGTTCTGCTGTTAGATACATACAGCTTAAACAACTTCCTGTGTATGTTTGAATTTCAGTTTTTCTCCTTGTAAAAACGGGCATTATTGGGTTTTCTGAAAGTTCATGATGAATATCTGTAAATAACAATTTTGATACCATTTTGACTATTATAC